GTGGGCTGCCATTTCACTCAATCAGGATCCGTGGTGGACGCGTGGAGAGCTGGCCAAGTACGAGTGGGAGGCTTGTGACATTCCAACGCAGTCCGAACTCAAAGAACGACGCAAACGGCTCGGAGTGGTTCTCCACGACGCTTACCTTAAGCATCGTCATCGCGACGCCACTCCTCAACCCCGTCACTGAGGCCGGCATTGTCGTCGTGAGGCCAGTTGTCGTCTCCATGAGCGCGGGAGCCGGTGAAGCGTAACGGTCGACTGGTATGAGATTGCTGGCTCGCCATCCACCCTCGGATTACTCCAGTGATCTGGGCGATGCCATCCTCGAAACAGCGTTTCAGGGTGTCGGACAACAGTTGAGCTGCCTCCATTGTTGCGGTCTCATTGATCCCGCATCTTGCGCCAGGAGGGGTGATGCGAACTACAAGCAGTACGGCATAAGGCATGAGTGTAATGTGCTTGTGATGTATAAAATGACACGTATGATTAAACTAATCCGCCCATGTTGATGCACTATGTAATAAGTTTAATGTGGGAACAGAGAGACTCACCATACGGTGAACATTAACTCACATGGAGTAGTAGCGTCAGTTTTCGCAGGCTTGGGTATGTCTAGGCCAGGATCAACGGTGACATTGTCACCACCTCCACCATCCAATGCATGAGGCTCAGCCGCAGCGGTGTCCTTATAGAAGAGCACCATCCACTCCCACCATGGCGGCTTGATGACAGTCGCACCACCCGAGGCCGAATCACCCTTCGATACCTGCTTCCACAGCGCCTTAAGCCGTTTCCATTGGTTGGTGCAAGCGGTAGCGTTGCGGCTCCAGTCAGGGTGCTGGAGCTTGATGTGCTCGCAGAGGCGGAGCCAGTATTGCGACCCTTGCTTCCCGGTCATCTGCTGCAGCTCATCCTTCGTAAACCACCGCGCTGCAATAAGGATGGTCGATTCCTTCAGAGACCACTCGGGGCGCTGGCCATTCACGGGGCTGCTGCTCAGCTTAGCATCATTGCGCACAGTCGCCTTCCTCCTTCACTTCCCGTTTGAGCGCTCTGAAGCATCGTCGTGCGGGCGATGAACAGGTGTAGCCGTGGCATCGTCATGAGTAGGGCCGTTGTATTCGGCAACGCCGTGCCACGCAGCAACGGGATCCTCACCATCGGAACCGGCGTCCTCCTCCTCCTCGTCCGATTCCTTCTCAGGGTATTTGTCATCGGTGTCATACCCTCGGGGCGTGATCGTAGAATGCGCGGGAGTTGAGCTGGCGGCTCCCACGTTCCTTAACGGCCGGGCGGTTGGTTTCCCGGCGGCGAGTTCGGCATTCATCCATTGGACGTAGGCGAGTTATTCTACTCGCCACCCTTCGTCCTCGCCTGTGCCTGTTTGCGCTTTGCGCTTGCGTGCCATGTCTGGCGGTTAAGACTTTCTGAGGTTGCTGGGTTGTTCCTAGTTCGTGGTTTTGTATGCATGGTTACACCCTTTCAATTGAACGTTGGTGTTGCTGGCATGGCTGTAACTGTTTGTGAGACTGGTCATCGTGCAGGCGCATCGGATCGCTGCGTGGCGGGAGTTGCTCAAAAGTTGACAAAATCGTGATTCAATGGAACGATCAATCGAGCTGCACTTTCGCCACGTCACGGTCGTGCGTAGGTTAAGGTGACGGTTGTGCTTCCCTGCACCTGGGCTGCCTCCCGCCAGCATCCAACCGCATCGCGACCCTTGGGACACCACCGAATAGGGCAATTAGCACTCAAATCCGCGTCACACCATCTACGGACCTGATCCCGAGCCGCGCGAACCCACAATCGTCCCCGAAATAATCCCCGAGACCAACACTCCCCTCTTTGTTATTCTCGCCAGGGAATTTCTCACTCCAGTACTGGAATAAGACCGTGAGGTAGTGTACACGTGCTACATGCACGCACCTCCGGACTACGCACAACCGACGACCTGTGGGATCAGCGCCTTGGTCATCCCTCGCGCGTGACGCGGAACACCTGCATCGAGGTAGGAGTGTTCGCGCCCCGCGCACTTCTGCGCCCTAACTGTTCCGAAGTCAGAAACTGATCACAGTCGCGCAACCGCACCGTCTGCCCCGAAGCCACGCTGAGTCACAATCCCTTTCGGTTGCTAGAGCCAGGGACAGATTGCTACCCCAAGTTGCACAAGGTATACAATGAATTTCTCCTCGTCCACCACTACGGGCTCAACGATGGAGGCTACACACTTACCTTCGTCGACGCGAAGAGCCGCTACGTGTGGATCGCCGCAGCAGAGTGCACGAAGTCTTCCCCGTGTCTGGCTGGCGCACGCCGGCAAGAAACTGCAGATCTGGCATACTAACGGCGCAACAAAATTCCACAGCAGGGAGCTACATGACTACATGGTGCAAAAGGAGATATCGCAACACGTCTCCCTCCCATACGCGCATCAGCAGCAGGCGTTGCCAAACGCACCAACCGCACCCTCATGACAAAGGTGGGCATGCTATAGAAGCAGTCAAAGCTTCCCGCAACATATTGTTTGTATGATATGCACCACGCCGTGAGGGTGCACAACCTCCTCTCACCACGGCCATCATGTGGAACTCATCTCCGCACATAAAATGGACGAGATAGAAAGGGCGACACTTCCATGCTCCGCGTGTGGGGGTGCCTGGTGCAGTATCGGCCCCCTACCTCAACTATTGGAATGTTCACGAGCTGCGCGCGTTGGGGCATTCACCTGGGAATTAGTTGCGAATACAAAGCATGGATCATCCTGGACCTGCTCAGCAACAAGGTTACAAACCCGCACGACGTCAACTTCTACGAGCGACTTAACCTCGCTCAATGTTGCGCCAACGAGTAGGCAAACGCAAATCAGGTCTAACCAAATGACGGGCACAGCTATGCCACCCCTGAATACAAGCCGCCACCGCCATCCTAGAGCAGGACAATGTTAGCGAGCTCTCCGACATCGACAACGATGACGATGACGACATCGATGACTCACCTCCGGGACCTGCGGGAGGAAGCAGCAGGGATCCCGCGCCACCCTATCCACCTGAGCCGAGAAGCGATGACGACGACGTGCTGGAGGTTGTCCTGCAGCATCGTCATGACAACACCGTCTCCGGACTATAGCTGCTGGGCTTGCACACCGCCATCTCCACAGCCCCGCGCGTCATCGAAGCGAAGAACCTGCAAGGAATGGGCGGGACCACTCATAAAGGAATGGCGCGAAGCCGTGGACGCAGAAATCCATTACTTGGAGTCACGTGATACTAGGGTGCTCGTCGAGTGTGCAACGATCAAAGGAAGGAGAGACCATGGAGGGGGAAGTGGGTTTTCCGTGTAAAGACCGCAGCAGATGGGATAATCGAGCGCGTTAAAGCGTGTTGGGTCGTACGCGGTTACGATCAGAGGCAATGCATCAATTTGATCAGACCTTCGCTCCGATCAGTCGTCATACCTTCGTCAAAATTCTGTTCACCATCGCTGCAGTAAGGCACTTACCTCTCCGCCAGATCGATGTGAAGAATGCGTCCCTCTACGCGTTAGCAGACGCAGTGATTTTCGTGGAGCAGCCACATACTTACGGCAAAGGGGACTCACGCATCTATCAGTTGAAGAAGTCCCTTTACGGGATCAAGCAAGCTCCACGGCTCTTGCAGAAGCACCTGCACAAAATCCTACTCGAGATAGGATTCGCGCAGCTGCCGCACAACCCAGGCATGTATCGCCTGCCTTTTTTCGGCGGCTACATTATGTCGACGACCTGTTCTACACAAGGACGAGCAACACGTAGCTCGACCAGTTCGAGAAGAACCTGGCGATTCGCGTCGACATCACCACTAATCATGACGTGAAGCAGCTCCTGGGCATCACCTACGCGCTGAAAGCCATCCACCTCCCAGCTGCCAAATTTGCTCAAACGCTTGAGAAGCGGTTCAACATCTCCCGTGCACCACTCTCCACTCCTTTTCGCACACCCAGACCGAACTACAAACCTGACAACAAAGCCCTATCCTCCGCAGGCCTTCACACTTACCAGCAGCTGGGATGTCTTCTCTTTGCTTCAGACCCGGAAAATAGACGGCCCAGAACCAAGTTCCCGTTCTGCCTCGAGCCAGCAGGGCCCATTTCCTAGAACTCACAGAAGCAGGAACTGGTTGCCTTATACTTGGCAGAAGCTGAATTCATCGCATCGACAGCAGCAGTTCGCGAGGGACTTTATCTATAAGAGCTCTTGCAGGAGGTGGAAATTCATACTTCGCCAACCTTTCGCCTGCACTGCGACAACCAGAGCGCGATCAGAATCGCGGACAAACCAGGATTCGTCAACCGCACCAAGCACATCACGCTGCGATACTTGTTCGTCAAGGACTAAGATGACAAGGGCAAGGTTGACCTGACATATTGCCCGAGAGCTGACATGGCATCCGACTTCCTCACGAAATGACTATCCCGTCGGCAGTACCAGCACTGCTCTGAACTAAGCGGAGTGGTCAAGCGGGTCAAAACTTGCTACGGCCAGGAGTGAAGGGGGGTATTCTGAATAGTAAATTGAGAAGTGATGTGCACTCCTATCAGTAGCAAGCGAAGAATGCAATGAAGAGTATGAAGGCAAAATGACGAAATGACGTAAAATGTCGCGTACGGTTGACAAGATCTGGACCGTCGGAGCAGAAGCATCAGGCAGCTGCAGGAGCGGGGATTTTGGCGAGAACTGGTTCATAACCGTCTTGAGTCCACTGTTTGATTTCGCTGTAATAATGGAATGTACCCCTTAGAGGACATGGCTAGTATAGGTGGATTTTTTTTCCCTTGTTACTACTACATAAACCTATGTATGTATGTGCTTGTTTTAATCATCTCAATCATTTTAAATTCACTCTAACCTGAGGACAATAAATCTGTTACAACAAACGTTTTGCGAACCTTCCTTAGGTGGTCCTAGGCAAGATCAACCGTCTGATCGCAACATCGAGTACGCAAACGAATGCACTTCACGAATGATTAGGAATCTAGGAATCTACTCTTGTAATGTATTATTAGACATCATGCATGCTTAGTGCCCCCAAATTTCGACACTTATGAGAAATGTTGATATTTGTGATAGGTTGTAGTGGGTTGCTCCTTAGAGAGTATAACACAGTTAGGGTTGCCTATTTGTATTGCCTTGTTTCCTAACTCACCATTCCGTTGCATTCTACTCTTGAGATGGTATCATAGTAGGTCCGAGTTCCTTAGCCCTAGCCTAGCCCTAGCCTAGCCCTAACACCCTCCGCGCCCACGCGCCCTCCGCGTCTTAGCGCCCTCCGCGCCTTAGCGCCCTCCGTGCCCTCCGTGTCCTCCGCGCCCTCCGCACGTTCTTGCCCTCCGCGCCCTCCGCACGTTAGTGCCCTCCGCGCCCTCCGCGCCCTCAACGCACGCCTAGCCCGGCCCCTCCCACTGTCGTGCCCTCCCCCTGCCCGTCGCGTCGCCCCCCCTCCCCTTCCCCTGCCCGTCGCGTTCGCCTCCCCTTCCCCTGCCCATCGCGTCGCCTCCCTTCCCCTTGCTCGTCGCGTCGCCTCCCCTCCTCCTGCCCGTCGCGTTCGCCTCCCCTTCCCCTGCCCGTCGCGTCACCTCCCTTCCCCCTGCTCGTCGCGTCGCCTCCCCTCCTCTTGCCCGTCGCGTTCGCCTCCCCTTCCCCCGCCCGTCGCGTCGCCTTCCCTCCTCTTGCCCGTCGCGTTCGCCTCCCCTTCCCCTGCCCGTCGCGTCGCCTCCCCTCCTCCTTCCCGTCGCGTTCGCCTACCCTTCCCCTGCCCGTTGCGTCGCCTCCCTTCCCACTGCCCGTCGTGTCGCCCTCCCCTCCCCGCCCCGTCCCACCGTCGACAACCTCCTCCCCGCACCTGTCCTACCGTCGCGCCCTCCTCCCAGCCCCTTCTCACCATCGCGCCCTCCTCCCCACCCCTTCCTACCGTCACGCACCCTCCTCCCCGCCCTCTCCTAACGTCGTGCGGCCTCCCCCCGAGCCCACCGTGCCCTCGCCCTCACCTAGGCTCGCACCTCCGCGTTAGCCCGTTCCCACCCGCGATTGGCACCCGCCCGAACCCCACTTTTGCCCTGCGCGCGGGGCCCTAGACAACTCTTTTGCCACTGGTCTCGCCCTCAGCGGCTGGCAGCCGCTTTCTTTCGCCGGCCACCTAGGGTAGACCCGTGTTCCTGCTAGTTCCAACCCCTAGTGCATGTAGCTGGAGTTTCGCCGTTTCACGCCTAGACTAGGTCCCTCCGTGCTCCTAGCCTCTAGCTCCGCCGGTCTCACACCGTGCCACACCTGGCGCTCCTAGGCTTCCCTCCTCGTTCTTAGCTCCGCCTCCGCCGAGCTCTGGCCGCCTCTAGCATGGCCCCCGTTATGGAGTCCCGTCGCCTTCGTTTCGATGCGGAGGGACGCCCGATAGAGTTCGGTACCTGGCAGCGCCAGACCACGCATTTCCTTAACAGCCAGCGTCAAGACGGCGCCACACTGTGGGCCCACGCGTCTGGTGCCCTGAAGCCCCCCCCCACCCCCGCCGCCCTGCCGACCGCCTCAGAGCCGACTCCTATGGTCCAGGCGGACTACGAGCGTCGGGTCCTGGCACAGGACGTGTGGCTCTCTCGTGGCACTGCCGCCGCTCTCACGCTGTCGGAGATTCTCCCCCTGACTGAGGCTGCCCACTTTGACAAGGTGGAGACAGCACAGGGGGTTTGGGATGCTATTGTTGCCCGCTATTCCACCCCTTCCTCTGCCTCCCTCAGACGCCTCCTCATGCCATTGGTGTTTCCTGACCTAGGCTCGTTTGCGACTGTGTCCGACCTAGTGACTCACCTCGGCTCACTTGACGCCGGTTTCCATGCGGCCTGTACCGACGCCCAGCTTCTTGCTGCTCCCCACCCCATGTGGCTCACTGTGCACTGGTTAGTCACCCGCCTCCCTGACCGCCTTGCCACTGCTCGCGACTCGCTTCTCCAGAAGCACCCCACTAGGTGGGGTTAGATATGCTTGATTTCCTAGGTGCATAGATATGCTTGATTTTCCAAGGCAACCGGAGACGTTCAATCCGAATGCGAGAGACACCGACGTCCGTCGATTCATTGCGACCCTCGAAATTTACTTCGAGGGCGTTGGCTGTACGACCCCGACACACGATGCAATGCGGATTCGGCTCGCAGCGACACTGTTACGAGGCCCGGCGCTCGAGTGGATTTACAGCAGTAATACGATCCGAGGCGAGGGGTCATGGACGCAGTTTCGGGAAGCTTTAATTCAACGTTTCGAACCAATCAACTCCAATTACATGACGCGGCAGCAGATTCATCGGCATAAACAGTTTGGCAGTGTAACACAGTACGCGCAGCAGATGGAGAGCCATTTCAACCGAACTACCGACCTGACCAAAGGGGAAAAAATCCAAGCGTATACTGAGGGGCTAACGATGGAAGTCTGCCGACAGGTGATTGCCTCGAACTACAACAACTACCACGACATGGTGTGTGCAGCAGAGAGATTCGATGCGCTGATGCGAGATCAACCCGAAAAACGACGACGTGTGCCGAACAGATCATTCGGCACAGAGCGATTGGCTCCACCCACGACCGCCGACCTGATGGATATGGACAAGATCGACACGAAGCAGCGGCCGACAAAATATGAGAAGTGCGAATTCTGCAGCGTAGCAGGACATCAATTCTTGGCGTGTTGGGAAATGAAGAAGGCACGAGCGGAGCTGCAGGGCAACAACAGTGCGACATCCACGATGGCGAAAAAAAGGGGACACGATGGCGCGAATTTAAAACGTCACGACCAGCCGGCAACAGGGGAAATCGCCGAGACAAATGGAGGCTCCGCGAAACAAGACTGTGCACCGACCGGGAAACTCCAGCCGAACACCCTCGAGAGTAAGAATATTCCCTCTCAAGGTTTTCAAGCCTTTAAAAAATTCAGGGGAGATTTCAAGGCCAAGAAAAAGCCTTCAGACATTTTTCAGGTACCTGAGAAGTTGGGCAAACCACTCCAGAGTGTTGAAAAGGGTCGTGCGTTCCAAGGAGTTAATTTTCTCTCCCCGCAGCATAGTGTTAAGGCTCCCCATTGCCCTGAGGAGAAGCCTACACAGGTGCAAAGGCTTAAGGAAAGGTTCCAGTCCAAGACGAAGCAGAATCGGCCTCAGAAAAATGCTTCCAACCCAACTCAGTTGGAAACTGATATGGAGTCAGCAGCTTCGAGCGCAGGACTGAGGGATGATCTATTCGACGTACCCTACGATCCTATAAGCGAGACCATCTACGGTTACTTGGAGCGGCAACAACCACTACTACTCGAGGTGATCTGCAACGGGTGATGCCTCCAGGCACTGGTGGACAGCGGTGCGTCTCACTCGGTGTGCGACCGCGGGACGTTGGAGAAAATTGGATAATCTTCAGAGGAGACCAAGTTCACGGCAACGATGGTGGATGGTACGAAACTTCCCATCCACGGCAAAGCATCACTGCAGCTGCACATAGGGGCGCTGAGGTGGAAGCCGACATAGCCGATCACGAACATCAAGGGTTTAGATTTCATCCTGGAGCAAGATTTCCTGAAGCGGTTCAACCCCGAGATCGACTGGGTCAACAGGAAGGCGCGCATCTACAACAATGGGAAACGAGTGGAGTTGCGAAGCTGGACAGATACAGGGAGCGTTCCTGGAACGACACTGGCACAGCTCGAACGGACGGTGAACGAGAGCAACACGGGATACCTAGTACTGGTTATGGCAGTAGCAGAGGAGGAGAAGCCGAGTTCGGAGCTACCTGCAGCAGTGAAGGAGGTCTTGGAGCAGTACAAAGATATAATGCCCGATGACCTACCCGCAGGCGTACCTCCAGCATGCACCCACGAGCACGAAATTGTGGAGGAACCAGGTGCGAAACCTGTCTCACGTGCACCATACCGACCAAACTGACAGACATGAAGAAACAGATAGAGTATCTACTGGACAGACAACTGATCCGCCCATCCACCTCTCCCTAAGGGGCACCAGTCCTCTTCACTCCAAAACCAGACGGCACTTTACGGATGTGCATCGACTACCGCACACTGAACAAACAGACTGTTAAAAACAAATACCCCATACCACGCATAGACGACCTACTGGACCAACTGCGTGGTGCAACAGTCTTTTCGAAGCTGGACCTACGGTCGGGTTACTGGCAGATCAAGATGGCGGACAACTCGGTCCACAAGACGGCGTTCCGCTCTTGATACGGCTCCTACGAATACTTGGTGATGCCGTTCGGACTCTGCAACGCACCAACAACGTTCCAGGCAGAGATAAATCACATCTTACGTCCCCTGTTGGACAAATGCGTGGTGGTGTACCTGGACGACATTCTCGTCTATTCCAAGAACATGAAGGAGCACGTGGAGCATCTGCGGAAGGTGTTAGAGATCCAGCGGAAAAACAAGTTCTACGTGAAGCTGTCGAAGAGCGACTTCGCCCTAAAGAAGGTGCAGTTTCTCGGGCACATGGTGAGTGCCGAGGGCGTACACGTGGACCCGCCGAAAATCGAAGCCGTTAAGAAGTGGAAAGTACCGGAGAACGTGAAGGAGTTGCAGCAGTTCCTAGGCTTCACCAACTACTACAACAGGTTCGTGCCACAGTACGCTAAGATAGCAGCGCCACTAACCAACCTACTGAAAAAGGATACGCCCTACAAATGGGATACTCCTCATCAGCAAGCCATGGAGCAGCTACAGACAGCACCGACTACAGCGCTAGTACTCATCCTACCGGACCCAGACAAGGACTACGTGGTGGAAGCAGACGCTAGTGACCAAGCAGTACGGACGCGGTTTGCAGCCCATCGCCTACCTTAGTAAGAAGCTACATGGAGCAGAACTGAACTACCCCATCCATGACAAGGAAGCCTTAGCGATAGTCATAGCCTTCAAGTCGTGGAGGTGTTACCTAGAGGGAGCCAAGACTACAGTCTATACTGACCACTGCAGTCTCAGATACCTGAAGTCGCAGCCGACGCTCTCACGACGACAGGTGCGGTGGGTGGACTTCCTGGAAACTCACTTCCACTACGACATCGTCTACAAGCCCGGGCTACACAACAAAGCAGACGCGTTGAGCCGCCCCGGTCATAAAGCACGCATCCAGCTCGACGGGATGAACCCTCTGCTCAAGGGTCTATTCCAACATGGGTACTCCGTGGACATAGAGATTGCTACAGCACAGACTAAGAAGCGGTTACAGTGGGAGAAAGACTTAGCTGTAAGGAAGGGTTCAGGAAAGATTTGGGTACCGAATTACGCCCCGCTACGGCAGATCCTATTGGAGGAGTTTCACGACGTACCTTACGCGGGACATTTCGGGAGCAACAAGACTATAGCGGGAATCTCAAAGTATTACTACTGGCCCAGGATGGCAGCAGACGTACAGCAATTCGTCACCTCATGCGACACGTGCCAGCGGATGAAGAGCAGCAAGCAAAAAAAAGCAGGGTTACTTCAGCCTCTACCCGTACCGTAGCAGCCATGGCAGCCTCGACTTCATCACGGAACTTCCATCAACCTCACGAGGGCATGACGCTACACTCGTGGTGATCGACAAGTTCTCTAAAATTGGTCACTTCATTCCGACCAACGCCACGGCTACAGCTGAAGCAACTGCTCGCCTCTTCTTCGACCGCATCATCACCATCCATGGCGTCCCCGCTACACTCATCTCAGACAGAGACCCCAAATTCACGAGTAAGTTCTGGAAGGAGCTCATGGGATTATGGGGGACCAAACTTGCAATGTCCTCAACATACCACCCATAGTCTAACGGACAGACTGAGAGACTCAATCAGGTGGTTGAACAGTTACTGCGCACAGCTTGAAAAGACGACGTCAGCCACTGGGACACATAGTTACCGACCCTAGAGTTTGCTTACAACAACGCGTCACATGCGGCCACAAGGAAAGCTCCTTTCTTCCTGTGTTACGGACGGAAACCACTAACACCACAGCAGCCAACCACACCGGCACACGTCCAAGCCGCACATGATTTCGTCACCACCATGCAGCAGCTATGGGAGAAGACTCAACGACGTCTCACCACGATGCAAACCTCCCA